ATTTTTTCTTGTCTATCTTTACCCCACTTAAAAATTCATTCTGAAGTCAAGCTTATAATGAAAATTTACAACCTGGTGTTGGATCATTAAATCCCCATATACACAGGCCGGTTTGTGTGTGAATAAAAGCTTACTAAACACACTGTGATTATTATTTTTTTTCCTTTCACTTGGATTAGCTAACATTTTTACTTTTTGAATCTATTTGCTGGATATTTGTTATGCCAATCCATAACTTCATTTAAAGAACTAACCTGGGACTGAAAAAAAAAGGAAAGAAGAAATTTTTTTCGCCTGCTTGTCTATCAACACTAATCCTCTTAAAAGTGCCCTTTCAATCAAGGGATTCAAGAGAAGCTCAATTTCCTCAGCAAATGGAATACTGAAAGGTACAGTTAAAAAGGTTCCTACTGTGAGCGAAAAATGAAAATAATGGAGTGACCTATGGAGACCCCACGAGCCCAGGAACACACAGGGTCACACGTCTTTATTGGATCAAAGATATGCACACATCTTTGTCAAACTGAAAAACCAAGGAAATGGCAGGCTTTGACTTTCTACTGATGGGGACAAGTAATGGAAATATTTTATTGCAAAGTGACTGAAACCCTGTTTGAGGTTTAACACTTAGCAGGCAGGCAGCAACGGCTTAGAGAAAAACGGACCAACATTTTCTCTATTGGGTTCCTCTAGATTTGACAAGGGTGACAACTATATTTTTAAAACAGTGTGATGGATGCAGATGACTCTGGAAAGTTTTATCTTAAAAATAAAATAGTAGAAGTGTCCTCTATGAGAAATGGCTGAGGAAATATATCACCAGAACAGTATAGAAATGCAGCAGAAGCTGCCTATATAGATTGCCCAAAGAAAACAGAACCAATTTTCTGAGAAGATTGAATAGAAATATTGAATGGACCCAGCTTCATTTAATACCCACAGAGTTCATGTGAAAATGTAATTAAGAAGACCGTGGATGGAGTAAAAAAAAAGATAGGAGGCACAAAATGGTCCTTGACAGCTTCTTTGGAAGGTCATAGCCCACATTTTATGGCCTGATGTGAAGTGCAAGGTGAAAGTGGGTTTTCAAAGACTTGGCTCTACTCCAGAAGTCTCTCTTTAAAGTTGTTTGCAAAACTTATACTAAAGACAGATTTATGAACATTGCCAGAGAACAGATATTTATCTTCTTATTCACAGAGAAGAGCTTTATTATTTTGGTCCTGTTGCTAAGCAAAATTAAATCTGAATTTGGCCTGTAAATTCTTAATTATATCTATAATAGCATTGTGTTTATTTTGAAAAAAACGAGGCTTCTTATTTCAAATAAAAAAATTCCAGGGTCATATAAGACTTTTATCATCTCCAAGGTTTTATTTGGGCCATATGGAAGTTTTTCCTAGGCAATTCTTAACTAATGTGGTTAATCCTTCTGTGAGAGGGGAAACAGTATATCGTCCTCTGTGAAGAGCTGGGGCTGGGATTCTGGTTGAGAGAGTAGGTTGTGAAGTGAAATTACCTGAGTCTGAATTTTGGCTCTTCCACTTACTAATATTGAGACATTGGGCAAGTTGGTAACCACTCTGAGCCCCAGTTACTTCCCCTGAAAAATGAAGATAATGATAGCTTCTTCTCATAGGGATAGAGTGAATATTAAATGAGATGATACATGTACTGCATTTAGCACAACACTAACCTAGAGAAAGGAAAATTAACTCTTTTTTATCTTGTAGGCAGCTAAGATAACATCCCAGAGCTCCAAGTTGTTATGCAATCGCTAGAACCCATCTCTCCATATCCTAACCTTGTCTGCGTATTCCTTGCCCCTATCTTTCTAGGCCTTCTGTAGCTTCTTCATATTTGTTATGTGGACTACCCCTAATAAGCAGAGAAGCATCTGGTTGATGCCATTTTTAAAAAAAGAATTACCTGCTTTGTTCTGTGTCTTCTTTGCACATTAAAGCATGTCTCCACCAGAGTATGAGGACGAATCGTCCGCAGATCTTAAGACAGAAGAAAGAAGTGTACAAAGAGAGGAAGTGGGATAACCGGACCTAGAGGGTTAGAGAAAAAATAAAAAGAGAAAGAAACAAGAACAGGTGAAAGCAGGTGAACTCCACAAGTGATTCAACTGCTCTTAGGCACAGAACAGTTTTTCCCAGCACTGTTCCAATTGGAGCATGGGCACCAGGAGATGATTAGTAAATAGTTTCTTAGTTAAAAAAGTATACATTATGTGGTTTAAATATTTCACACCATATTTCCCTCTAAAAGAGTCTCACAGCACATGCACATATTTAAGATTCTAAAATGTACCACAGTATAGAAACCTGTTTTACTTTGTTTAATCCCGTAATAGAGTCAATACAAAATCAATACATAATACTAGTCAATAACATTTTGGGAAACACTTTACTACCGTTATTTTAGCACTTGAAAACAGTATACCTTTGGAGTGCTAATGAACCATGATAAAATGGATGGGGAGGGAAGTGGGGCTAACATTTAGTGCCAGAAATTGTGCTAACTGCTTTAAAAATATTTGCTTATTCCCAGTAGGTCAAAGTAATAGGTTTTCATGTGGGAGGGCTATTTACAGTGCTTTATAAAATAATGTCATGGCGCATACCTGTTTTTCTTAAGTGGGGACACAAGAGCTCTTTAAAAAATGAAAGATTTTGAGAACTCACTTGCCCATATCTATGCCTAAAAGTATTGCTTTGTATTCATGGAAGAATTTGACTAATTTTGAGTCTGTCTAGTCTTAAGTTTCTGGAAGATAGCATGCTATACGGACCTGTGAACTGCCACTTGTTAGCTACGTAACCTTGTGTAACATACTTTTCTGAGCCTATGTAAATAGTGAAAAAAAATCTAATTTAAGGATTTTTGAGTTAGTTAAAAGTCACAATTTTATAACAGGTACTCCACAACATGCAAATCCCTTAATCTATTTTTCTCACTCCTATATCCACTGATCAAAGTATTTTTTTCTTGCACAGATATTACAACAGGTTCTATGGCCCCTACAAAATAATATGTACAGTTTCTACCTTTAACATCTGCTAATTGTTATTTAAAATACCACCATGTTGTGTGTATGTATGTTTAAAGGATCAGCATCTATTTCATAATGTAAATACGCATGAACATTATAAAACAGCAGTTTATGTATTGTTAAAGGAAATAACTTCATTTTAATCTTTTTGCATACTCCCCAAGACATCTAGCATAGTGCCAGGTACACAGTACTTTGTGTCTTGTGAAACAAATGAATAGAAAGAGTAAATTGCACTAAAATTGTACTTATATTACACACTGTAATATATCAAATGCAACTTAATATTAGGACACTTTGCAATGGGGGAACAAGGCAAGATGGAGCCAGACTGAGATTTTTGAAGTCTGGTACTAAATTTCTCACGCTTTAACAAACAGCCTATGGCTACCACTCAATCTCTGCTGGGGGGGGGAGGGTGTACCAGAAGATTCATCAACAAGATGGCCATGTTAGAGATCATAATTTTCTTATGAAACTGGATCTTACTTTAGTTGTTTTGCGAGAAACTTGGATTTACTGGCAAATCAAGTAAATGTTGATATGTTTGCTCTGCTCCAACTCTTACTTTCTGTTCCATTTGCTGTGTTTTCATCCTTGTGCAACGTAAGGTGAAAAGCTACCGCTTGCTATTTTATTAAAAAGTTCTATACTATTAAGAGTGAAAACTTGAGAGGCAGAACTGAGGTCAGGAAGGAGGAAATCCTAAACAATGATAGCTATTAATTTGGTGATGAACAACAGATCTTACTTTCAGTTCCATGTGTAAGTAAGCAGACACAAAACAACAGCCATAAGATATGAGATTTCTCTTCCTTTCTTGGACATATTTGCCCACATCGCCAGTGAGACTGAGTTGTGGGAGAGATACTTTTTATGTGTGAATGAATAAAAACAGGACAAAATAAGTTAAAGATTTAAAGATACTGTTAACTGTATGTGGGGTACGTTTTTAGATAGCTTTAACAGAAATGGAAGTGACCTGTACTCAGGTCAGTCGCGTGCTCCATCAGTCACTTACCAACTCCGTCTCTTTTGAATCTCCCTTTTTAGCCTCTTTTCTACATCCTTTTCTATTATATCTTGGCACTCAAACCTGTACTGTAGCATTTACTACTAGAGTATTTGCTATATTTTCTTGACTTGAAATTATAATGACAGATTTCTAGGCCAGGTGTGGCGACTTAATACCTATAGTTCCAGAATTTTGGGAGCTGAGGTGAGAGGAACACTTGTGGTCAGGAGTTGGAGACCCAACTGGGCAACACAGCAAGATACTGTGTCTGCAAACTATTTTTTAAAATTATCTGGGTGTAATGATGTGTACCTGTGGTTTCAGTTATTTGGGAGGCTGAGGTGGGAGGATAGCTTGAGCCAGGACTTGGAGGCTACAATGAGCTATGCTCGTGCCACTGCACTACAGCCTGGGTGGCAAAGTGAGACTCTGTCTCAAAAAAAGAAAAAAAAGAAAAGAAAATGATAGATTTCTGATACATTCAACACATCTAAATGTTCTCCGAATTATATAAGAGATAACAAAAGGGGTGTCTTAGTTCAAGCAGCTAAATCAAAGTGGCATTGACTTGGTGGCTTATAAACAATAGAAATCTATGTCTCACTGTTTTTGGAATTGGGAATTTGAGACCAGGGTGGCAGCACGGTCTGGTTATGATGAGAGCCCTCTTCTGGGCTCAGACTACCAACTTCTTGGTATATCCTTACATGGTGGGAGGGTGTAAGGGAGCTCTCTTGAACCTTTTTTATAAAGGCATTAATTCCATATGATTATAAGGACACTAACTTCCCAAAGGCCCTACTTCCGAATACCATCATGTTGGGGTTTCAGTTTCAGCAAATGAATTTGGAGGGGGTTGGGACACAGACATTCAGTCCATAACAGGGGAGATGTGTCACAAAAATTACAGAGATTGATCTCTTGTAGGAATGGAATTCTGCCATTGAGAAGCTGAAGAGGGAGGCACTGGGAATTCTGCTGTCCAGGGACTATGTGGAGAAAGAACATCTACAGCTCTCTAATCAGAAACTGAATCGGCTTCAAGAAGAATTCGGCCAACTCATGGTGGAGAGGAATACCTGGTTAAAAAAGGCAAATGATTTTTTTAACAGTGCCAACAAGGTAAGTGTGAGGTCAAGCTGTTAATTTTAGGTAATCAGGCAGACCAGTAAGGGACCCTTTCCTTCAACAAGCTGCAGCACAGCACAGAAGTCACAACTCCATGTAGAATTTCAAAACTGAGAGCAGCAAAGAAGAGGTTTGAAAATATATGCCTATGACAGGCATTATTTGGTTCTCAAAACCAAGAGATTCCTTGCTTTCACGTGTAAAGTGTTACTTTCTAAAAACCATCACCTCTGCTGGGCTTGGTGACTCAGCGCTTTCGGAGCCCGAGTTGAGTGGATTGCCTGAGCCCGCGGGGTTCAAGACCCGCCTGGGCAACTTGGCGAGACTTCATCTCTACAATAAATCAAAAAACTAGCCGGGTGTGCTAGCACACGCCTGTAGTTCCAGCTATTTGGAAGGCTGATATGGAAGGATCGCCAGAGACCAGAAGGTCGATGCTGGGGTGGCTGTCAGTGAGACTCCAACTCAAAAAAAAAAATAAAAAATAAAAACCATCACCTCAAGAGGATTTTATCCTAGAGCTGCTGTTTGTCTGCTTAGTGGTAACACTTGTTACCAACGTTGTAGTGTTTCTTACAGAGGAAGGAAATTATTATAAATATATTAAAGTTTCAAAAAACCTTACAATGTTTACCACAAGTCCTTTTAAAATACTTTCTCATTTATTAAGTAAAAATACATGAATATTGCAAGTCTTCTGCATGCTAACCAGAAGGCTAGGCACAATGCCTTAGCCTGATGGTCCTGCATTGGTTTTGCCTTTTAAAGTCATCTGGAAGGAAATCTTGCACTGGCCTATCTCCAGGTCTTCTTGGGTACAGGGATGTGTTCTGTCTCTCCTCGTTGAGTCACTAATATTGATTGGTGGGTCCTGCTGAGTGGAAATGTTCCCCTCACTTGAGAAGGGCTCAGGATGTGAGGCTGCTGATCTTCTTTGAAAAGTTTTTTGACCTTTCCCAATGTAATACACACCTCCAAACTGCCTGGCTGGAATTATTTAACACCTTACATCTCACTAATGTTTTTACAAGCGGACAATATGACAGAAAATAAATGAGAAAATCCCTGGAAGCTAGGGACATAGTGATCTAAAATCATAACATCAACACTGAATACAATGTTAAAATGGTGACTTAATTTTTGAACTTCTTTACTAATAAGAAACTCTTTGAATAGTAAAATTCCAAAACAGAGGCACTAGAATTGTGGTTTTAAAAAAATGTTTTTAAAGACATTGTCATTTGGGATTTCTTTGTTTTAAGAGAGGAAACAGATATAGCATTTTACTGGAGTGATAGAACTAATTAGATGTTAGGTGTTAGGCTTCTCTTCAGTAGCTCTGTTTTGAATATTTTAAATTTACAGTACACGTTCATTTTACAAAATGAGTGGCTCATCTGCAAGTCAATTAATATTATTTATAACAAAAACAGTTATAGAACATGTTGCTACGAAACAATGTTTCTAGTACAAAACCTGTCATTTATAACCTTTCAAAATACAGAGTTTCTCTCTTTCATTCTTTCTCTTGCTCTTGCTTTCTTGGCTCTCATTTTTTTGGTACCTTGTCAAAAATTTTTCTTCTAGCATGATTCCTGGGCCTTGAGAGAGAAGGAATATCTCCTGTAAAAGTAAAAGAAGAACAGAATGGTTACTTTCTAAAACTCATACAGTAATTCAGGTCAAATCTGGAGATGAGAATTCATGTTTCTTAACCCCTGTTTCATCATTTGAATGCCATGGCATGCTAACCATTCAAATTATAATAAGCTCAGTTAGGATTTATTCATACTATAGCATTTTCTATAGCCCAGTGGTACTCAGAAAGGTGTTAGAATTCTTTGTCCCTTTTCAAAGCGTCAAGGAAATAATTTCCAACTCCAAATCTAAGAATTCAAAGTGGAAGATGATGGATACTTTTACCTCAGCAAAAAAAGAAGCTGGAATTTGGGAAGTAGATGTTTAATCATGACTCTTGAAATGAATTATTCACTATATTATTAAGAAGCAATAAATGTTGAAATTATGTAGTGGGTAAATCCATTTAAATCAAAGAAAGAAACTCCTCTTATGACTTGTACATGGTATTTTCCTTTTTGATTCATTTTGCAGGATCTCAAAATTTTACAAAAATCTCACCACTTTACCCAATCTTTGGCATAACACTCATAAATAACCCTAGTTTAAATAAAGGGCTGGGTTTAAAAAATTAATATAATTTCAAAATCTCTTAAAATATTTTCCTCTACTCTAAAACCTAGATGGGCAAGTTGGGTAGGAGCGACAAAGACTCATGTACTTTCTCTCCCAATACATGCAAATCTGGATGCTAGCTCTGGTGGAATAAAAGATGAAGTTAGTGCCTTTAAAAAAGATACTTTCCTCAAAAACCTATTCCAATCTTGCTAAGTGGAATTTTTTTTTTTTCATCAAACAGTCTCTTTTTCCAAATTTGTTTTGGGACAAAGCTAGGTCAATATTTTTTTTCCGTTTCTATGTTGAGTACTAGTGTAAAAAATATGCTATTATCATGGGTGAAAGGGACACTTTGAATTTCTGCTTAGTTAAAAGTGAAATGTAAAAAAATATCGTTTTTATGTTTTTAAAATTTTGTTAAACTAAAAAGGAATAAATGTCTAATTTTATCTGCAAATAGACTGTTTGTAAGTTTCCTGTATCATATATATTTCTTTTTTCATCCAGGTTTTTATCGTATCTCTGTTTAAAATCCTTGAGGAATCCCTTCCTCCCTTATTTTCCTTTCCTTTTCATTCATTTATCTCTCAGCCAATTCTAGATAGGAATATTATTTACTAGAAAAATGATACAATATTTCCTTTTATTGAATATACTAAATGATGTGGTGAATTAATGAGAAGAATTAGCCTTCTTCAGGTGTTCACTTGTTTAGCAAATATTTATTGAGCAACTACTATGTGTCAGGCACTGTTCCAAATGCAGGGGACACAGTAGAGAACAAAACATACGAACTATCTATAAACCAATATATTTTCCAATTTATGAAATTCAACAGAATAAAATTATCACCTAGTTGTCTGTATTGACAACAGTTCCCTCCTCCCCACTTTTGCCCCATGGCTACAGGAGTGCAATTGATGATTACCTGTTAATTCTGCGGGGGTTTGAGGATTACCCATGGCTGGAGGATGTTTCTCACCCAGAGGAAGCGTCTGCAGCCTGAGATACGGATGTTTGAACCCATAGTGAGCAGCAGGTGGCGATGTTGGGACACAGGAGTTAGGAGCCTCGCTACTGATGCCATAAACCAGCCACTGGGGATACAAGTGGAGATTGAGCCATGAAACTCAAGAACTCGAAATACTTCCTTTACTTCTTAGAATTTCCCAGTGTGTTTGGTGAAAACTTATTTGTTAAATCACTTAGCAACAAATACAAGTAAGTCAGTTGTCAACATTGGCAAGTCCTGATTGGAGAAGCATTCCTCTAATCACCAGGCATTGCGAGGAGTTAGGAGGACATGGCATGAAATATGAACAGGGCACCTATCACAATAACTTATCCCGATCCTCCACAAGTCTCATCCTTCAGAGTGTAGATTATCTTGTTTATTATACTTTTAGTGTGCTCACAAAAAAAAAGAAGCTGTGGTTAATATTTGTCGATCACCCAAAATGTGTATATCCTTGTTAGGGAATGTAATGTAAATCAGAGATAAATATGTAAATGTTTCCAAAACAGAATACTGTGAACCTGTGTCTCTACAACAGCTATGATTGAACCTAAAGTTGTAAAACATGATAACATGACGAATCGGTCATAAAGTTTCAAATCCTATGCCTTCCTTTCTCAGGTATGTGACTTCACTGGGGAAAGCAAGAGGAGGAGACTGAGGCCTCATCTATTTGATGAACATGGTCTGATTTTTGAAATTATGGAATTCAACAAAATAAAATTATGGTCAGCCTGAAAGCAAAGGTGAAGCAAAAGTTGGGGCAGCCAAAGAAACACACAAAAATTCATTTGAAATATAACAATTGTCATAGTTTCCACTGCTTCTGCCATCGCTGTTGAAAACTTAAATGTCTTTTTAAAGGATCATGTTGCTTTTTCAAGATATTTACGGTGATGCAAAACAGGAATGCCTACAGAAACATTATTGTTTCAGATGAAAACAAAATAATGAAGCACGGAATTTTGTGCTTTTTTCACTTATGCATCCATCATTTTACCATTTTAAAAATAAATATCTTTTAGGCCCAGATATAGAAAACAATTAATTAAAATGGTCCAGTTGTTGCACAGATTGAAAGAAGAAACTTCCCCAGAGTACCTTAAAAAAAATCCAGAAGGAATTTATTGAGGTGATATAAATGAATTCCAGAAATTAGGTTAAATGTTATTAGATATCAAGGGAAATGTAATTAATTCCAATTTCATGATTCTTCAGCAGCTTGTCTCAGATTCCTCTTTTCCAGAACAACTTCTCTTTCTTTTAGAAACAACTACGGCAACTTGGTGCCCCTCCCTCCCTTCTTCTGTGTTTGTGTTGAGCTAATATATGTATTCGTACCGTTGCCAGCAGTAGATGAGTACCTGAACTAAAGCAACGAAAGATACAATTCCTGCCTTTCAGCTTCTCTCAGTCGAGCTTGAAGGAGAGGCAATGTGACAGAAGCCTTTGGCTGTGGGAAGCCATGATGGAGTAAGCCCAGAGCCATTAGGGCACACAGAGCAGATACCCTTAAACTGGCCCCGGGGGGGAAAGTATCAAGGAAGACTTCCCCGAGGAGGCGACCGCTGAGCTGTTTGCAAGAATGGAAACTTATTGGAAAAGCTGGAAGCTACAAAATCATGCCCTGTTTGGAGAACCTAGTATAATTCATTTTGCCAGGAGTGTAGGGTGTCAACCAAGAGTGAAGGGTGACAGAGGCGGTCAAAGCAAGCAGGGGAGCAGAAAGTGTTGTGAATAGCATTGCTCAGGAGGTGCTGTTTTATGCTGAATGTGTCCTTAA